GGGTTGGTGGCAGAGATGCAGACGACAAGTCGACTATATCCTCCACCCCACCTTTGTTTTAATCTCACATTTTTGTGTGACTTGGAGTCCTGCTGTTGCCAACTTCCTTATAAAACAATCATGGCTTTTACTCATGTGTGTAGATAAGTTCATCTGGTTTACCTGAAAGTTTTTGTGTTTTTACGAGTGCAGTTGTACTTTATCAAAGAGTTTTATTGAAAAACTTGTCAGTTTACCAGAAAATGTTTAACTGATTTACATTTTTGGCAGTTGTTTTATTTGATTCGCTTCAACTAACTGACACAAGCATTACAGTTTGTTCACGGGCCACCGTTCACAGAGGACGTACAACTGTAACACAGAGAATGTACAACAGTAACACAAATAGTACTTAAAATGACTTATCATGGAAAACAAGCTGCCATTGAGATGAATCCCCGACAGTTGATGTGGGCTGTCGTGTTTTCCTTGTCCAATGACGACGTCAGATCATGTGATGTTCCAGTGTGAGCTTTTCTACATCTTGTTTTCTACATCTTTCCGCATCTTGTTTAGGCGCTTAAATGACCAAAATTGTGTCGATAGTGCCGTAAAACATCTACCCAATCAATCAGCATCTTGTTTCGCTGTAAGACTTTAGACATTGAGTGAGTTATCCCACTTTGATTTGTTCTTTCCATGTTTTGCAGTAGTCATCAACAATTGTTCATTTACCATACATAATTTCCAAATGAAGGAGTTGTGCATTGTAAGGACTGGGGTCAGGTTTGTGTCATTGTAAGGACTGGGGTCAGGTTTGTGTCATTGTAAGGACTGGGGTCAGGTTTGTGTCATCGACTGGGAGAGTACGTGTCACAGAGTGCCTGTCCGGTTAACCAAAAGTGAAAATGACCACAACCAGAAAAGAAAGAAATACTTTTTACTGTTTGTAAATAGGAGGCAAAAAAAGGAGGAAATCCCCCCCCCCCCCCCCCCCTAAAAAAATTACCTAATTGTTAATAACTGGGTGTGAGTAGTAATTCCAGTAAGTTCTGAATGGAATGCTCAATGCTCATCAATGCTCATCAGTGCTCATCAATGCTCATCAATGCTCACTTTACAAGTTGACAGAAGCTCTGAGAAGAAATGTTAGGTGGTACC